TAGCACTAGCTTAACTAGACAAAGGCCGAAGCACCATAGTCACGCAATACAGCACAACGTACCAAATTGTAACTAGTTAGATAGAACGGCCTTTGGCCAAAGTCTTACATAGCCAACGGCTGATACAGGACTATAATGGAATAATAATAATAATAATAGTGCTGATTGAGAATTGTTGAATGAGTAGGGTTTACTGCGAATATAGTTCTCTGTTGAATTCGAACTTAGGACCACCATCCGTAGGTTGTTCATCCAACCAGCATATAGTAGATGAAAGGCCCCCATAGCTGCTGTGGCCTTGATTTGGTTCAGACCAAATCGTGCTGGAATAGAGCACTGATTGCCTGCGTTCAAGGTACGTGTGAAGGCACCTGTGCTGCTTGCACCATCCGCCATCGTTAGGGTGAGTTCTCGAAGTTGAATTGACACGCGAATGTCACATCGAATGCCGTAAAGCCAGTAGATGTCATCATATCCCTCAGGATCACCTGGTTTTCTCCATTCCTTTATCTTTTCAAGGTCGCCTATTGCTTCTGCGGCGTAAAGGGCTTCAACACCAATGTGAGCTATCACTAATGTTGCCTCGCCAATTTCTCCAGTGGGGCAGATCTCATAAGCATAGCCGCTATAATCACCTTTCTCATTACCATTCATTGTTCCGCTGGCTGAGCAATTCCGGTCTCCAGTCTTAATCAACGAAGTGCTAGGGTCGAATTCTACGCCTATTGTTCGACATGAGAAAGGATTGTGTAAAAGTGTGGGTGAACATCCATGAACACTAACCAAAGCGGTTCCGTGTTGCATTATGAGGTCGTTGAGTCCAATTGGTAGAGCGGAAACTGGATTGGGAAACGATGGTGCATAGAATGAGCCAGGGGCGCCTTGAGCCCCAGACTGAACCGCGACCCCAAGGTCTCCATAGCCATAATTCTGTGGGTCTTTTGTGTTTATACCGCCGATCAGCAGCATTGTTTGAGAGGTAGGACAGAAGTCCAGGTATGGGAAAACTTTGTATTCCGAACCGTTTGGAAGTTGCCATAACATGTCCGAATACATTCCATTCAATGATGAAGCGTCCACACCCATACATCCTGATGTAGAATCTTCTGGTAGATAGTATGAGAAAGTTGTTGTTTCCTCGATTTGGTTGTAACTCAGACCAGTGACAAATGCAGTGACGGTAAGGATCGAGATGGTAAATGAAGCAGAGACCCGCCATTGTCCCAGGCACTCCTGTACGGTTCCAATATCAAGAGCGGTCCGCCACCGTGGGTCAATTTGGAGAAGAGACGAGCCGCGATTGAGCTCTAAATCGAAAATCCTTAACCATAACTGTCGCAGTCGGGATAATGTAAAAGCTCTGCACATAGTTCCCAGAGTTGTCAACACTGTAACATATACTGTCTTTTCCACCGTGCTGAGTGATCCATGGCTGCCTGTTGAGCCGGAGAAACGGATTGGCACAAAGACGGCCACCACCAAAACCGTAAACATGGATACATTTGCTAGGACAGCCAAGCCGACCGAGATATCATTGAGACTGATTTTTTTGATAACTTCTTTGTTGACCGTGCACCGCCCCGAGTCGTCTTCATTCAGAATGCAGTTTGTTGCACTCGGTTCTTTTCTACCATGGGTGATATGATTCTGTAGCAACCTGCTAGAGGTACCGGCCATCGAACTGAATATAGTTGTATAGAATTGAGAAAAAATAGTAGTATTGATATGAGTTTGATGAGTTCTGAAAGCAAGGAGATGGCATACTATCAGATATCTGGTTTATATCAGATACATTGCGCTGCCATAACGTAATCAAGTTTGAATATTTCGATTTCTTTTTGGTGCGTCTTTTTAGCAGCATCTACTACTGATCCACTCAGGAAACCGATGCAAGGCTACAGAAGCAATTAGTTCGGCTTAAGCGTTAAACTTTATATAAATACTAATCTGGATGATATAAATTCAGATAGACTGCGCAGCTGCGCTAAGGCTATCACTCAGCTGATGCCCATTGCATATCATTCAGCTAAGGCCAGTTGCCACCATGTAGCTGAGGCTGAGTATATCACAACGAACGTAAGCTAATAACAGACTAGAAACTAGTTTTCAGATATATTAGAGTTGGATACAGGTAGTTGATTATCACAAGCAAAATGAAGAATAAGGTAACTTTAAAACAAAAATATGTCTACTTTTTACCTAGATGGTTAGAGTCCAGTCGCTGTTTATCAGTCAGGTGGCCTGAAGCATGGAGCTCATGGTGTTGTTGTCTAGGTTCTTCCTAGTAGCTATATCAGTCGAACCGAAATATCATATGTAAGACGAGTATTTGACAGCTCAGCTCACGGTGCTGAAGAGGGGTACAGCTTCAGCTCCATTTTAGCACAACCAGCTAGGCCGTTAAATACTGACACTAGCTACCCTACCTGGTCTGGATAACTTGGCTAACGTGGCTGACGTGGCTGACCTGAACGACCTCGCTGGTTTGGCTGGTTTGGCCAGTTTCTCTCGTTTTTGGCTGGTTTCCTGGCTGGTCTGGCTGGCGGCGATCTTGGTGTCCGTCACGTGATCAAGCGATATCTGAATACAAGAATTTCTCACACCTGGGCACGAGTAAGGCCAGTTGGTGTTGAGTTTCTTAGAGCCAGTCAAATCGCGTTTCTTTTTGCTCAAAAACCCGTCCGGAAACAATTGTAATATGCAGCTAAAATTGCAATCAGACCAGTCCACTGCCCCACCACGAGTGAAGAATTCAGACTACAACCAAAACACAAAAATTAATTCTCCATCGGGTAATCGAACCCAGTCTCCCAGGAGTTGTCAAGTACTTGGCAAGCAGAAAAGCTGACCACTATATTACTGTGGTGCCTGCCGTGATATCCGTTAGACTTTACGTTCTGGGTTACGGGTATCTGTTAATTGTGCTGCATTAAATTTCGGTTTTGTGTGCATAGCCTTGTAACAGTAGCTCATATTTCACTCCCTTGTATTTTATGTTCTTCAGGATATCGGTGGCGCTTTGAAGCAGCATCGCACCGCTTGGTTATGGACACTAATTGGCTTATGTCATCGTATATCTACTCTCCGAGGTTACATAGGTCGTGACTTGACTATGTTATCAAACAATACACTGTGGTAGCACTCTAGGGCGAGGAGGTACACCGTTCTCGGCCTGCAGGGATGGACGTTGGTGGTGTGTTGAGGCGCTCTGCGAGGCTGAGCTTCAAGACGGCACAGAGTGGCTGTGTCTGACCGGTTCGCCAACGCGAGGAATACGAGCGGGGTCAGGCTACAACATAGCTCCTACAAAACGCGCGAATACATGCAATGAACCATTTTCCCCAACCCTCATACAAATCATGACCGAAGCCGCAGGCCTGGCTCTGGGTGTCGTTGCCCTTTGGAAGACATGCGTAGAGGTGTTCGAGGTTGTCGACTCCGGACGCAGCTATGGTATAGACTACGAGCTTCTCCGTGTGAAGCTCGAAGTGGAGCGAATCCGTCTGGTGACATGGGGCGACACGATAGGCCTGGATAGAGAGAATTCGACAACGCAACCTGATACGCGACTCCAGCAGAGCCATGTGAATGAGACAGTGATGCGACTCCTTGGGTGTATCCAGCACATTTTCGATAACTCGGAGCGGCTGCAGAGTAAATACGGGCTCCGGCCGTCGGAGGGCCAGACGCAGAATGCTAGTATCGATGTCGGGGTTGGGCCTGGGATCTTGGGTGCAGTATTCAGGAGGCCGTATGAGAATCTGCGAAGGGCTGCAAGGGATAGACAGAAAGACACAAAGTTGATGAAGAAGGCGTTGTGGGCTATTCATGATAGATGCAAGTTTCAGACTATGATCATGGAGATCAAGGGGTTCAACGATAATCTGGAGAGCTTGTTTCCGGGATCACGGCTTCAGGTTGCGGAGGCGTTGAGGATAGATGTGGAGAATAGTGCTGCTGTTGAAGAACTTCAGCTATTGCAGGAAGCGACGTCAGAAGACCATGAAGTGCTGTCTGACGTTGCATCGGCCAGGCTAGAGGCTTTGGGTGCCAGCACCGTGAGATCAGAGTTACTCACTGAGAGAAGCACTGTAATAGAAGGACTGAGAGAAGCAGACGAGGACATCTGGGAGGACCTTGATCGAGTCGGAAACATCGAAAATGAATCTGCAGAAGCTGGTGACGACGCGCAGACAACTGTCGATCCGGAAATGACTGTGCTGGAGAAAAGACTGGAACAAATTGAGTTATATTGCTCGGCAAAACAGAAAGGTGCCCTATCCATTAGTATTCACGATCCGCAAAGTTATTCTTCCAAGGTATCGGCGTATGTTTATTACGAGGGGCAAGGAGAGGATCGCTGGTGGTCGCGAAATGAAGACGGTTATGTAGAGCCAATACATGCATGCTTTGGTAAGTCTCTGAGTACTGCTCAACATTAAAATACATTAATTTAACCAACAACAGAGCTATATAAGAGAAAGAGGTTCCACGCCAAACGAAAGGAAAAAGATTATGACTTGGGCACTGAAGACGACAATGTTTTGTTCAGCGTCGAAAGCAACTCGGAATACGAAAACGTCAACCCAGGAACTGTCACAGTCAAAGGATTCGCGCTTGATGCATGGGACTACGAAGATACCAACTACCCTCGTGAGTCCACCGTGTTCACCAATACCTCTGATCCAGGAAACATTACTGCTAAAAAGCTGCTACGCCGTATCGACGAACTCCAGAAAGGCGCTGGTAAACTCGGGTGGAATCGTGAAATAGATCTTATGGATATGATTTATACAGCATGCTTAATTGCTCCGACATTTTTGTGAATTTTCTTGGCACATCAAGCATCTGCCTCGAATGGAACAATCCAAAGAAGAACGGTGGCGGTATCTGGAATTTACTCTGGCAAGTCATCCTAGCCAAGGAGCTTGCGCGGCGACTAGAGAGTAAGACTGATGGTGGTTGGACTTCAGGGTTCACCCCTCGAGTTCTTGCATCCCTAATCGTGAGCGACCTCTGGCTCAGAAATGTAGAAATAGTGCTCGGAGAATCAAGATTCAGATTAGCAGACCTGAAGGGTGTAGAGAACGCAACAGAGAAAACCAAAGCCGAAGATCTCAAGAAAAAAGGCAATGAGGCTCTAGCAGAGAATATGTTCCAAAAGGCCTTTGAGTTTTACACGGAAGCGCTGAAGATCGACCTGAAGGATGCTACATATCGTTGCAATAGATCGGCTGCCTCATATTCTCTGGGGAACTTCGAAGACGCCATGGAAGATGCATACGTCGCCACAAGAATCGACCCGAAATATGCAAAAGCCTGGTCCAGACTTGGTTCTGCATATACGAAATGTGGTCTCACGAAACGAGGCATCCAAGCCTTTGAGCGTGCCATTGAGCTCGCAGGCAACGATGTCTCCGCCGCCATGCGAACTGGTCTAACCAACGCAAAAGCCCAACAAGAAGCTGAGCTCAGGAGAATCGACGAAGAGAAAGACTTGAAGAAGCACGAAGGGCTGCGAAAAGCATACGTTGAACAAGACTACGACACGTTGATGAAGGGGGTTGAAATGCACTCGCGCTGCCATGAGCAACAGGTCGAAGGACTGCTGCTGTTTGCCGAGAAGATGAAGTGGCCATGGATCAACGAGGTAAGGAATTACGCAGAAGAAGCATACAGTGACTTGCGAGGGGGGCAAACCCTTCCTGCAGACTTGCACGACTGGCTTTTTGGCATGATACTTCCGGGTCAATGGTTTGCATTCAAGATCATGACCGCATTGATCCTGTGCACACCATCCATCAAGGAAAAGACTGGTATAGCCGCCTTCTTCGACTGCGGTCTCTCCCTCCCAAAGAAATCATACTGGAGAGTCCGCACAGTACTCGGTCGAGTTCTGGGCTGTCTCCCAGGCCTTATCTCTCTCTGCGGGTGGATTGGGCCTTGTCCACCCGTAGAATTCCTGTCCCCAGCCCCTGCAGACGCAGACAAACCTCACCACATCTGACTAAAAGCGCGGAACCTCAGTCTCGTAAAACACATATCCCGAGACCCCAGTGCGCCAATCATAGTTAGCAGCTCCGGCCGCGGCTACGACGACACACAGCCGAAAGAAGGCGAAAAAATCGAGCCCTGGATGGCCGACATGCGCAACGCAAGCAACTGGATCGTCCCTGAGCCCCCCGTCAAGCAAGTCAGCACTTGCGAATTGAAGACCATACAGCTTAATCGCAACAACATAGGCATTGGCTCCATCGACGACGAAGAAAAAGTCATGTACCTTGCGCAACTCGTCTTCAAACGAGACGACAGCCCGGACCTACAAACATACAAACTCTTCACCAACCCCGTCTTCGTGACACCTCCGCCCTGTCGTCCTGGTCCAAAGGGCGCCCATGAAATTCATCTAAGGGAGCTACATAGATATAGTGAGAAGAACATTTGGACGATCGAGCAGCTGAGGGATCATACGGCTGAGGATACCGAGGATATCGATGTCATGGTGATCAATGCTACGGGAAAGGGAGCAGAGTTGTTGGCGAGAGCTTGGTGTTCGGAGAGGGGGAAGAATGCGGTTATACGGAGGGCGGGTGGGCCTTGTTATGTTTGTGCTGTGCAGGCGGCTGGTCAGGGTGGTCTGCGGACCGGGGTGTTAATTTGGGTTTCTTGATGGCTTGATGGGAGGTTATGAAGTGCGGCTTGGTTTTGTTTGAAGTATTGTCGGAGTGCTCGTTTATTCGGTTTTAACGTCCTGTAGTGCGTGTTCTATTTATTGCTGGTAGCCTTGTCTTTTCTTTTCATCTTGATATCATTTTGCTCTTGTCTTAAACTCGTTTCTCTCGTATATAATTTCATTGAATCACAGCATCAAATGCAACACCATATAATGTCGAACGTTCAAGGAAACTCATATCTAGATTGTTAACCTGATAGCACAGATGTCATAGATTCCGCGCAAACGGTATTGAGATTCAATCCCCCAGATATACTCAACCCCGAATTGCAAATCGTCTCCTATTGTCATCCTTTCTCTTCCATGCAATCTAATCATCCCACCTAATATTCGATGTAACTCCGCGATCTCCTTCGAATCTTTCTACTTTCCATCTTCAGGAGCGCGAGTGCTCTTGATTCAAACATTCCACCCCTATTAAAAGAATTAAGCACCACCTGCAGCTTTAATAGCAGCAGCGGTACCGAAAGGCCATGCGAACGAGGGCGTAGCTATTTAGGTAAACCTAGAGCTTCTTAGCTTTTAAAGTAGTACTGTAAGGGGCTGCGCTTTAGAAAGCAATCATAAGGTATATAAGAGGTTGTATTCCATAGAGAGCTAAGACCTTAAGCTATATAGCTATCTATATATAAGCTAGTCATCTAATTAACTATTAGACTAGTAAAGTTAAAGTATATAAGTGTTACAAGTAACAAGAAGGATTCTCCCCTTGACAAATGACGAGATGGCTGAAGGCCTATGGACGTCCACGTCAAAAGGTAATGGACATTGCGGGGCTCGAGGTCACGTGATGTGCCATCCCGCCAAGACAAGACATCC